CGAAATTCACTGTCTACCAAATCGTTCTAAGCAGCGACAACTTGAAGTCACAGAGGTTTCTCTTCAAGAATTTTGGTGCTCGACCAAAATTATTCCGAAACCCCAGTAGAGAACACAACATGGCGTCAAAATCTGCCCCTAAACGTTTGGATACCGAGCCGGTTTCATATTCGCTGCCTCAGTCCCCCCATCGGGCTTTTAGGGCAAATGCTTTTATTATAAACTTTAATCGATCACTTATCCATAATTTAGCGTCTTTATATCCTAAGCCAACGAGCAGCCATGAAATCCACGAGGGGATGTAGATTCATTTCACGTCAACCATCTCACTGAGAGAGCGAATGAGTCGCCGTATACAATAAAATTTAACAGGCGCGTAGGTGACGAATGGGACATAAACGCTCCTATCTTTCTGTGTTGCAATGGTCAACCTTTCACAGTTTTTCATGCAGACGGGCAACTGACGCATACTAGCATGCTTGGAGTTAGTTGAACATCATGCACCAAATCACCGCACTGATTTCCGGGACGGCTGCCGATGCACACTTATTAACCTGCACTTTTGGACACTTCACATATTATAACTTGCGCTGGCAGGCTTCCTTCTCCGCACTGAAAACTTAAAGAACAGTACTACAGCCTTTCCTGCTTGTACTCTTTGGGCTAACGGAAGCTATTGAACGATAAGAAACGACCCAATCCGAGGTGCTTAGGCAAAAACCTCGATCTTGCATCCGTCCGGGTACCCGTTAATCCACGGGGAATTGAATTCTTTTCACGTATTCCGGAAAAAGTGTAAGACTAACATAGTTAATAAAACTGAATCTGAACTCACCTCCTCAGAGATCCATTAGGAGAACTGGGCCACCTGGTCACCTGGTGCACACTCTTTTTTGACTGCGGAATTTGCGTTACCAAACGGGGAAGCGGTGCAAAGGCATCGGTTAAGGCTGCCAATGCTGAATAGTTGCAAGATATCGAGGACACGCAAACTGAAATCCGGGTTCATCAAATTTAGAAAACTGTTTCTGCTGCTGCAGGTGAGCACCCAAAACTAAAGCTGGAGCCCAACCATGGGTTAAACTTTCACCAGCTTAGCTCATACTGTGCAGAGAAATCCGGCTCATTCGGACTTTAGTCGCCGGAACACGCATCCAGCCGGGATGCTGTTTACTAAGATGCCAACGCGTTTACATATGAGCGGAATATATTTTGCGTCCAGCTGTCCAGCGGCCCAATCTATAGCCTCCACCCCTTACTAGAAGATATTCCAGGAGTGTAGAGAACAATGGAATAAAAATCTCACACATTGGTGCGACAATTTGCGACAGCCTTCTTTGACCCTTGTCGCCGCATCTGCATATCGAAATAATGAGAACATAGACGAACCGGACACGAAGAATCACGGTTGAAATCTTCAAGTAGAAGTAATAACGATGTTGCGTCTAACTTTCACCTGTTCTCATAATCAACGTCCCCTTCGTCGTCGCTCACGAGAAGCACACCCAAATTATTTTAACCGATACTATAAGGTTTTTGAAGTTGTGACTTTCGCGGGGGGGGGGGGTAGGTTACTCTTGGCATTTTGTTTAAGTGAGCAGAGTTTCAAGGTTAACGTTGATCACCGACTTCCACTTTGTCACCGGTTTAGGAGAGATTAGCAACAAACTCGCATTTCAGCATATCTTGTCGATATTCGGTGTTCTTCAAGGAAAACAACATCTGTAGCGCATCCAATGCAACTTCCAGCCTAACATGGACCATTAGCTAGACTCGCTCACCTCTTCCTATGATCGACCAAGTTTACGTGTGGCTAGTTGATTAGGCATCATGGAATCCTATGAGCATGCCGGTCATGTGCGTCAGCTAGGCTCGTTCAGCCATCCGCTATGATCAAGAGTAAAGTCGTCCTGGAATATTTTGCAAGTTATGATGGGGGCCGCTGGCTATTCGCACAATGAGACTGCAACAACTGCAGACCCTAATTTTTATTAACCCGGAACGATTCGCCCGGGAAAAATTATTCCGGATTCCGCTATGTTAATTCGGAATGGCGCTTGTCGAGGGCCCTGCAAATACACTTTGATATTCACGATTCCACGGGTACACAGGATCAAGCCTTTCGCCCAAGTTGCCCGGGTCGGTTTTGTGCTTATCGCTATGCGGCTGCCGTACACCTGAAATGCGCGGGCGAAAAACCGGCGTAAGACCTCTACCAAAGTTCAGACCACAGGCGGAAAGCTTGCCGGCGCGAGGACGCACATCAAAGAGGGAATGGGACTCCTGCTGCGGGATTTGGATCCACAGTGCATCGGAAAAATTTGCAGTACTGCCAAAGAGGAGAATCGGGATGGGCAGGGCCTCTTGTGAGTACAAAGCAACCCCACCAGCTCTTCCTCGCTTTGAATTAGTTCGAAAAACCGAATAGCCGTCTACCGAGATCACCGCGTCAGCGACATCTGGTGTGAGCCAGGTCTCTGTGAGTGCGATTATCGGCGGTCTTCCAAGATAATCTGGCTGGTA